TGAACTTAGTATGGTTCCAAGATGGCTTTTGTCAATGGGACACTACGGCAGGTAGTTGCTCCATAACTCAGTCTGAGGAATCCAGGTTCGACCTATGATTCACATACATACAACGCCAAGTCCACACAAAATATGAATTTTGTGAAAGCATGAAAATGCGAGGATATGCAGAGATACACACGGAGCTGAAATTGTCAGATCCGATGGACATTAGGCTATACCACATGCGAAGCATTTTTTACACCAGTATGCCATAGGTGTAAAGTGCATTAGCATTAACTAAATTATTGACTCTAGTGCAAGTGGGAGTCTGTAGGAGATATGCCCTAGAGGCAATAATAAATGATATTATTTATCTCCGAGTTCATAATTATGTTTATGTTCCATGCTATAACTGCAATGATTCTCGAGTCTGCAATATCCACGAGGCTCGGAGGAAGACTCATATGCACGTGTGGAATAATAAACGGTAAGAAGTATTCTTAGTCTGGCCTCTAAGACTAGCTCAAGTGTTGCATGATGGTTCTGTTTTCCTTATCATGGGCATGTCAATGCCAGCAACTTTGAGGGCACAATATTAAGAGAACATTTGTGTTGAATCGACCCGGATTGATGTTATGCTAAGAGATTCATTCGTCACAAGTTAATGGTACATAACACAGAGATGGTTAACATTTGCATGATTCCTTAGACCATGAGAGTATCGAGTTTCTTCATGCTTGCTTCATGAATTTTGGGGTTTGTTAAACGTCATCCGTAAATGGGTGGCTATTACGGCGGCTTACGGGTTCATGGAAAAGTGTGTCAAGTAACTAGATAGCTCAAGATTAGGATTTGCTCCTCCGACGATGGAGAGATATCCTCGGGCCCTCTCGGTATTACGGTATCCATCATCGTCTGGCAAGACACAGTGTGATTTAATCACTGGGATGCCGGAACACGGAAACAAGAAAAGAGAACAAAACTGATAACGAGGTAACTTGCATGGTGGACAAATTGTTTGTCCATGAGGATGCAATAAATCTCACCTCGGGTGTTTGTGACATATCGCGAAGCAACAGGAATAGCTCACTGCAACTGGAGGTTCACTCAAATATTTATTCGTGTGGGTATAGGGGTCAATATGGGTGTCCACGGCTCTGATGTTGATCATTGATCGGAAGGGGTTCCGGGTCATGTCTATACTTCACCGAACCTATAGGGTCACACGCTTAAGGGTCATCTATCTGCTGAATACTAGACAAGGAGTCTGAGAGAAAATCATCGAAAAAGTTTCGGACACTGGAAAAGTTTCGGACAGCGGAAAAGGTTCCGCAGAGAGAGAGGTCATCGGATGAGTTTCGATGAAACTGAAAAGATATTTCAGGGGATACCATTAAGTCAAATTGGTTTCGGCACATGCCTGATAATTCTTGGAGGGTGCCAGAATCATTCTGGAAGCTTTCTGGAATTTTTCGGGATAATAACCGGATATGCTCCGGAGTTGCCGGAACCACTTCAGATGTTTTTCGCAGATGAAAATCACTAAACCGGAATTGTTTCGGAACGCGTTGAAAATCATTTTGGTGGGTACTGGAAATGTTCTAAGCCCACATAAATATTTTCAGTTCGAACGGACGCTGAAAAATGTCGTCGTGAATAGTGAAAGTACTTTTTGGGATATTTATGGAAAGCCACCTTTTGGGGCTTTTTCCAAAAGACTTCTAGAAGGACTTGGGGATCAAGGAACCCCCTTTGGGGGGCCCCATGAAGGTGGGACGTTGGAGGGTGCAGCTCCTCCATGGGGCTCCACTTGTCATCCCTTTATGCCTTTTATACCCTTTGTGTGTGGCATAAAGTGGGGGCACTTTTGGTATTTCAGAATACCCATCCTACCCCTTGGTTTCCCTATAAATAGGAGGTGAGGGGGCTGCCCAAACCTCATCCCTTCTCACATACAAGTGCCATGCAATGATCTGGCTTCTTCTCTCCCTCCCACGAAAAGAGTTTCTTAGAGCCGTAAGGCTGTCTGGGTTCCGGCAGGAACTAGTTCTGGACGGCGAAGCCCTGCCGGATAGATAGCACTGTATGTGTGCAACTCTGTAGAGAGATCGTAGTTTCGGTTTTAGTTCGTGAGTGCCTCCCGAAGGGCTGTCCGTGTGACCGTCCGAGTTTTGAAGGTCCTCCCGAAGGGCTGTCCGAGTGACCGTTCGAGTTTCGAAGGTCCTCCCGAAGGACTGTCCGCGACACCATCCGGGGGGCTGTTCGACCGCCTCCCAGAGGGCTGTCTGAGGAGCAGATGAGAGTATACATCCTCGCGGTTGGGAGGTTGTAAATCCTAGCTGCGGGGATCTGCACCGCCGATCGTCATCGACTCTACTTCCCGCTCCGCTACGAGTCGGTAACAAAAAGGATCATACCATGTATGCAGTATTCATAGTGGTCCTGGGCTGGTCCGTAGGTTGGAAAATTTTTGTTTTCTGCTGCGTTACCCTACAGGCCCAAGGCAGGCGGCGGGCGGCAGGCGGTCGGTCGCGGCACGCGCGGCAGCGGCAAGCGTGGTAGACGAGGGCGGCAGGCGGGCGACCTAGGGGCCGGCGGCAGCAGGCAGGCGGTCGCGGCAGACGATGTATCGGTGGTGCGCGACGCGAGGAGGAATACGGGCGGCCCGAGGCGGAAGGCGTGCGGCAGGGGGCGGTCGCATCAAACGCGGCAGCCGAGTCCGGCGGGCGGTCGCTCACGGGGCCTGCATGCACGCCGCAGTTACTGCAGCCATGCATGGCAGGGCCGTTAATGCACGATCACACGGGCGTCCCCATCCACCCGCACGTCCACACCGGTCAATGCACTCTTAAAAGAAAACACATCCGCAGAAAAAAAAACCTCGCCCTCGGGCTGACATAGTGGGCCCAAACGTCACGGGCGTGAAGCCGGCTCGGCTCGTACATAAGCCACGTCGCCCCCGCGGCTCAGCTGTCCCAACGGCGTGCCGTGGCTTTTTTGGTGGGCAAAGACACGGACTGTATCCATACTACAATATACTAGTTCTTGCCAATCTATCAATCACCACCAATTTATTTCAATAAATATAAATAAAGTGAACCTCACTTAGAGCACTAAGGGCATCTCCAGCCGTTTGCCCCCCAGAAGGCACCTTTTTTCGCCTCCTGGGGGGCTGCCGGCGAGAACTTAGGCCTTGGGGCCAAACCACTTCCACTCGTTGTCTCCCCACGAGCAGCGTTGGACTCCCACAATCGGAGCGTCATTTCCTCGAGCACCTTGACCGCGGCGGCGTCGACGACCTCCAGCTAGCGGAGGAGCGCTAGCGTCGACGGAGGCCTGGCGGAAGACCACACGGACATGAGCATGAGCAGCGCTGGGCTCCCACGAAGGCAGCAACATTTCATCGAGCATCTTGACCGCGGCCGCGCCCGACCAGGCCGCGCCCGCTGCTCGCCGCCTCGACGCGCCCCGTCAGCGGGCTGCACGGGGACGGGGCGGGCGCCCAGGACGCGGTGGCCGGCGGGCGTAGTAGACGCGTCCCGCCCGCGCCGCGCCGTCCAGGCCACGGCTGCGCCCTACCTCATCATGGCGTCCTCCACTGTCTCCTGCTCCTTCCCGACGACGGCGTCGCCGAGGCACCGCGCGAGGACGACGGCGTGAGCAACAAGGAGGAGGAGGAGGTTGCTGGTCTCTTGCCTTGTAGACGGGGCCGAAGCTGCCGCGGCCGAGCAGGTTGCCGTCGGAGAAGCCGGCGGTGGCGGCCTCCAGCACCGGCAGATCGATGAAGAGCATCCACTGGTCGTCCTCCTCCTTGTTGCTCTCCTGACGACAAGGGCGAGGACGATCGAGCCCACAGCCGCGCCCGTCCGCCCAGGCAGCGCCGTGCCCGCCCGACCGCCCGCCCACACGCCATGGCCACACGCAGCGAGCTCCGGCCCGGCCATGCCACGGCCACACGCCGGCGGACGAGCTGACGCGGCTCCGGCATGCCACGGGGCGGAGTCGGGCGCCCGCCCATGCCGTGGCGCCACGCAGTCCAAGCAAAGCCTTCCACCCGAAGCAAGCAACACAGCCGCGAGAGCGCGAGCCAGAGCACGGCGGGGGAGGCGACCTGGCGGAGGGGGCAAGCGTGAGCCAGAGAGAGGCGGGGGAGGCGACCTGGCAGAGCAGAGGAGGGCGCGAGCGCGAGCCGGCGGGGGAGGCTGCGGGCGCGGAGGCGAGCGCGCGGGCGGAGCAGGCGGGGTGGCGAGCTCGGCGGGACGGGACGGAGAAGGCGGGGTTGGGCGAGGGAAAGATTCCCACATGCACGGGTGGGCCTAGCAGGAAAAAGAGGAGAGAGAGAGTGAGGAGAGAGGCCGACATGTGGGGGTTTTGCATGCAAAAAGGAGCGCCGGCGCCCCCAAGTGCCTCCCGGCCTTTTGGGTTTGGATCGGGACCGCCGGGCGTAACTTCGGCCAAATCCGGCGCTATTTGAGCTTTTGGGATCCCGGCTGGGAGAAAAATTAAGCGCGGGCGTCCAAAAAGTACTCGTGGGGGGCATCCTGGGGGGCCGGCTGGAGATGCCCTAATCATTCAATGGCAGTCAAGTTTCTACCGACGGGTTTAAGACAAGCTGTTCTGAGCTCAAAATCAAATTATATTGGTTGGGCTATGTCGTCAACTAACTTTTGCTTCAGCAGCTGCATGGTTGTAGGATTAGTTTTGATGCAGCCTAGCGGAAAAGACACATGAGTTTCGATATTCTTGTAATCTTGTTCATGTTAATTGATAATTTCTGATAACTCAGCTCGAGTCGTAAAGAAAGATCACTTGTCAATAAGAAGCACATGTAAGTATACCATTATTGAGGAATAAACTCATTGTTTCATCGCAGAAAAAAAAACTCACTAAGAAGCACATGCCATAAAGTTGCTAATCTGTAGGCAAGCTATAAATCATCAAGATTGCTAATACAAACACCTTATAACTGGCTTATCCGTAGTTTTACTGCAAGCTCCCATTCCTCATCAACTTCTCCACTACATGAGGTAGTTGGATAAGGCACACTGAACATAAGTCGGTTCAAGACCAAGCATCTTTTCAGCAGAACACTGCTTGACCGCTTCCAGTGTTCTCTCTTTAATGTTAATGGCAAGCATCCATGCAACTGGGTGGCGGATGTCTAGTCTAGCCATGATGTAGACAACATCGTCGTCATACAAGCTCAGAGTGGGCCCACCATGAACCATTTTGTCCCAGCTCAACCTCTTGTCACCCGATACCTTAGGGTAACTTGAACCTGTGACAGGCACGTCATCAGCCTTGACAGTGAACCTCTTTTGCCACTTATTTGAGGAGATCTCCCTGTTCCATGTGGTGACCGTCCAACCTTGGCCAATGACCCCTTTCTCATTACGGGTATCGCTACACCGACAAGATTTCAGCTCGACGAACCTGATCACGCCATTGCTTATAGTGACATCACGGAACGGCCGTGCGTAGATATTGTCGACTCCCATGCCAAACCGCAACACCAGATCGCAAGGCAATGGAACAGGCCATTCAATCAAACGCATAACCGGATACTGGTCGAGCACGTTGCATAGAAGAATTCCATGCCAATGATTGACCCAGCCGAGTGTTCCCCTTCCGGCAAAGGTCACGCGGGTGCCTTCGTGCTGCATAATTACCTCGGAATTGTTCTTCTTGGACACCATGTTGTGCCACTGCCAGTCAGAGATATCAGAGCGATACACGTAGAGGTCGTACTCCTTCCTAGTAGAGTCGTTGGTGTATCGCGAGCGAAATTTTGATAGCGAGGGAAAGACCACGGTGTAGTCTTTGCTGTTGAGATCGGCGCCGCCGAGGGGCACAACGCCGGCCAGCGTGACGTAGTCGGGAGAGCGGTAGGAGTCGACGCCAGGGAGAAGGGAGAGAGAAGGTGCCCCTGGACCTGCCCTGTAGACAAAGAAATCATTGTACTCCCCGCATCCACCGAACTGAGAACCACGGGATCTCCCGCGTAGAGATTGAGCCCCTGGACCTGGCCTGGAGCCGTGGATGAAGGGGACGACGAGAAGGACAAAGGCGTCCGCCGAGCACAGAACCATGAGATCTCCCCCGTAGTGGCTCTCCCCAAGGCCATGGCAGTGGACGTAGCAGCGAGAGACGGCAGGCGGGTCCGCCAGCTCGAAGGTCACCTTGATGTCGCTCCCTTGGCTGGTGATGACGTGGGCGGTGGTCGTGTTGTCGCGGTCACCGACGTGGCACTTGGCGTCGGCGAGCACCCAGGGGCGACGGCCCGAGCGCCTGGGCGCCGCGGCGGCGGCGGCGGCAGCAAGATCTGACATGGCGCCGCGCGAAACGTAATCACGTAAGGCGGGCGATATTGATAGCGGCGATGCGTTTGGTTCGTTACAATTGATGGTATCGTCCGCCGACCCGCTATATTGGGGCGACGTACGTGTACGTGTGGTGAAGTCGACTCCGGTTTGTTTCCTTGTCGTGTCTTAGTTGTAATCGGAATAGGTTATTCTAGTGAGTCATGTTCCGAGTCGGGACTCGTACTGCATCTGCAAGTTCCTCGTTCTCGTGTGTGCGTGATTCAGATCGACCGCAAGGTCTCGTACCCTTCCTTAGGTGTGAAGCTTGTCCGGCGAGTTAAGTCTCCAGGATACAAATTTTTAGGGCATCTCCAGCCGCGCCCCCAACAGGCCCCCCAGACCACTTTTTCGGCGCCGGCGCCGAAAAAACGGTCCAGTCGCGCCCCCAGGACGCCGAAAATCGCCGGTTCGGACTTTTTTTCCGTCCGGCGGTCACAGGCTGAACCCGGCGCGCTGGGGAGCCGTTGGGGGCTCCGGCGCTAGGGAAAAGCACGCCTGGCCCACACCGCCAGGGGAAAAGTCAAGGTTTTCTTCCCCGACTCGCCTCGCACCCCCCGCGCCCTCGGCCACCACTAACTGTATCCCGGCGACGGCCGCCGCCCGACTCCGGTAGATAGCCATTCCTCGCCGGAAAATAGCAGCGCTTCGCCGCGGCAGCCCCTCCCGCAACAGCTGGGCGTTTCCGGTCGCAGTTTCCGGCCGCGGAGGCGCGGTTTAACGGCGGGTTCACGGCCACCGAGCGCAAGGTGTTCGGCGATTTGCCCGTCTCGGTGATGGACTCGGATGAGGAGGAAGAGCTCGCCGCGCTGCTGGAGGAGGAAGCCGCGGCCGACGTCCAGGAAGAAGAGCATCTGATGGTGCTCGCCGCCCTCGCCCAGCTGCTGGCGAGCAGTGAAAAGCCGCGGCGAGGTGGCTCGGCGCCGGGGCGGGTGAAAGCAAAGAACCGGCATCGTCTGCAAGGCTACTGCATGCTCTACTCCGACTACTTCGCCGATGCTCCACTTCATGGCGAGAGAACATTCCGGCGCCGTTATCGGATGAGCCGAAAGCTCTTCCTCAGGATTGTGAATTCCATCCGGGAGTTCGACAACTACTTCAAGTGCAAGATGGATTGCACTGGCGCTCTTGGATTCACCTCCATCCAGAAGTGCACGACAGCGATGAGGATGCTTGCATATGGAGCTCCCAGTGATTCACTCGACGACTATGGGCGCATGGCCGAGTCCACCAGCATAGAGTGTTTCTACAAGTTCTGTCGGGCAGTGGTGGCAGTGTTTGGGCCACAATACTTGAGAACACCCAATGCGGAAGACACTGCTCGGATCCTAGCCCAGAATGCAGCAAGAGGATTTCCTGGGATGCTTGGAAGCATCGACTGCATGCATTGGAAATGGAAGAACTGCCCATTTGGTTGGCAGGGGATGTACAAAGGCGCCAAAGGCGGTTGCAGTGTGGTGCTTGAGGCGGTAGCCACACAGGACCTCTGGATTTGGCACTCCTTCTTTGATATGCCAGGAACTCACAATGACATCAACATGCTGCAGTGCTCTCCTGTTTTTGCCAAGCTCGTTGAGGGCCATTCTCCTCCAGTGAACTTCAAGATCAATGGGCACCAATACAACAAGGGGTACTATCTAGCTGACGGCATCTATCCTAGATGGTCGACATTTGTGAAGACGATCTCAAACCCTGTGGCAGGAGGCAAGAACGCCTGGTTTGCGAAGCTTCAGGAGGCTTGCAGGAAGGATGTCGAGCGGGCATTTGGTGTGCTCCAATCTCGATTCGCTGTTGTTCGGTACCCCGCTCAGACCTGGTCGAAAGATCAAATGTGGGAGATCATGACTTGCTGTGTCATCTTGCACAACATGATCATCAAGAGCGAGCAAGAAGACCCAGTGTTTGACACTGAACCATACTACAGGCAGGGTCCTCTAGCCGAAGTTGATCACCAGCTACCGACAACTTGGACTGCCTATCTCAGTATGCGTCAGGAGATCCGAGACCCACAGGTGCATCATCAACTGCAGAAAGATCTGATTGAGCACCTATGGAGGCTCAAGGGGGACGCCTCGTGATGAAATATGAGTTTTTATTTGTTGAACAATATAATTTGTATTGAACTATTTGTTGTTATAGTATTTTGTTGAAGCATTTGATTTTTCTGTGATGAAATATGTGATAAGAAATAATTGTGTTGATAATTGAACGCCAAGACACGGCGAAACCACGCCGAATATGGGCCTATTCTCGCCCATATGGGCCGTTTATTCGCCGAAATTGGGCTGCAAAGTGGGCCAATTTCGGCGCCTGGGGGCGAGCTGGGGGCAACGACTGGGCGCAAAACCGTCCCCAGCGCCGAGTGCATCGCCGGCTCGCCCCCAGGGGGCGATTTTTATGCGTCCTGGGTGGGCCAACGACTGGAGATGCCCTTATAAGAGAAACGCTTCGGGACGGCACGCCGTGTTGGGGAACGTAGCAGAAATTCAAAATTTTCCTACGTGTCACCAAGATCTATCTATGGAGAGACCAGCAACGAGTAGAAAGAGAGTGCATCTACATACCCTTGTAGATCGCTAAGCGGAAGCGTTCAAGTGAACGGGGTTGATGGAGTCGTACTCGTCGTGATTCAAATCACCGATGATCCTAGTGCCGAACGGACGGCACCTCCGCGTTCAACACACGTACAGCCCGGTGACGTCTCCCACGCCTTGATCCAGCAAGGAGAGAGGGAGAGGTTGAGGAAGACTCCATCCAACAGCAGCACAACGGCGTGGTGGTGGTGGAGGAGCGTGGCAATCCAGCAGGGCTTCGCCAAGCACCATGGGAGAGGAGGAGTAGGAAGAGAGGTAGGGTTGTGCCAGAACTTCATGTATAGCTCCCATGCGCCTCCCCACTATATATAGGGGTGGAGGGGCTGGTTTCTTGCCCTCCAAGTCCATTGGGGCGTTGGCCAAGGTGGGAGGAAAGAAATCTCATTATTTCCTTCCCCACCGATTGTTATCCCCCCTTTTTAGGGATCTTGATCTTATCCCTTCGGGATATGATCTTATTCCTTCTAAGGGGGGATCTTGGTGCGCCTTGACCAGGGGTGTGGGGCCTTGCCCCCACTACCCACGTCCATGTGGGTCCCCCCATGCAGGTGGGCCCCACTCCGGAACCTTCTAGAACCTTCCCGGTATAATACCGAAAAATCCCGAACATTTTCCGGTGGCCAAAATAGGACTTCCCATATATAAATCTTTACCTCCGGACCATTCCGGAACTCCTCGTGACGTCCGGGATCTCATCCGGGACTCCGAACAACATTCGGTAACCACATACAAACTTCCTTTATAACCCTAGCGTCATCGAACCTTAAGTGTGTAGACCCTACGGGTTCGGGAGACATGTAGACATGACCTAGACGTTCTCCGGTCAATAACCAACAGCGGGATCTGGATACCCATGATGGCTCCCACATGTTCCACGATGATCTCATCGGATGAACCACGATGTCAAGGACTTAATCAATCCCGTATTCAATTCCCTTTGTCTATCGGTATGTTACTTGCCCGAGATTCGATCATCGGTATCCAATACCTTGTTCAATCTCGTTACCGGCAAGTCACTTTACTCGTTCCGTAACACATCATCCCGTGATCAACTCCTTGGTCACATTGCGCATATGATGATGTCCTACCGAGTGGGCCCAGAGATACCTCTCCGTTTACACGGAGTGACAAATCCCAGTCTCGATCCGCATAAAACAATAGATACTTTCGGAGATACCTGTAGTGCACCTTTATAGTCACCCAGTTACGTTGTGACGTTTGATACACCCAAAGCACTCCTACGGTATCCAGGAGTTACACGCTCTCATGGTCGAAGGAAGAGATACTTGACATTGGCAAAGCTCTAGCAAATGAACTACACGATCTTTTGTGCTAGTCTTAGGATTGGGTCTTGTCCATCACATCACTCTCCTAATGATGTGATCCCGTTATCAACGACATCCAATGTCCATAGCCAGGAAACCATGACTATCTGTTGATCACAACGAGGTAGTCAACTAGAGGCTCACTAGGGACATATTGTGGTCTATGTATTCACACATGTATTACGATTTCCGGATAATACAGTTATAGCATGAATAAAAGACAATTATCATGAACAAGGAAATATAATAATAATACTTTTATTATTGCCTCTAGGGCATATTTCCAACACGCCGGCCGAATTTTTGGCCGGTCTCGAGGGCCATGCTAGCTCCAGCGTCAGAGAAAACACCCCCGCGCAAGATGTGTGTAGGTGGGCCTCACACAACTGGCCCAAATCTTATCATTATCCTTTTTTCTACCTTCAGCCCCATCTCTCTCCGCGCCGTGCTTCTTCTTTTCCTCCCCCCCCCCCCGCGCTGCCGCCGGCCGGTGGCTGCTGCCGTCCGTGTGCTCCGCCGAGCCGGGGACTGCCTGACTGCTCGCCGAGTTAGGGGACTGCCTGACTACTGCCGACCGGCACCCTCTGCCATGAAAAGGGATGCAGCAAATTACATCGCCGGTCGTATAAAAAAACAAAGACGGTTGCAGCAAAACATCGTCAGCGTCGTCATGGGTCGCAGCTAAGACATGAAGCTTGAAGCTTTTTTCAATACCGGTTGTAGCTTCTGTAACCGCTGGTTGCAACTTTTTGTTCTCGTCCATGGCTTTCGACTCTATGGTTGAAGCTTTTTTTATTGTCGGATGAAGCTT